TATTGATTTGAGTAAAAAAATTTTAATTTTTTAAAATAAAATTTTAAGTTTGAGTTTATAATAAACAAATAAGTTCTAACGAAAATTTTCTTTATATGAGTCTAACACAATTAATTTTGAATTAATTGATATTTAATATGATTTTTAAATATAAAAAATTAATAAAAAAAATGTTTTGGCTTCCGTGAACAGGGAAGTGAGAAATCAAACACGTCCGTAAGAAGCAAAGGAAAATGCTTTGTGATGAGGCGTCTGCATCACACACAGATGGGGGGGAAGTGTGCAGCAGGTTGCCTGTGACGTCCGGCAAAAATTAGTTAAAGCCAACAAAGAAATAGGCGGAAAGGAAACTGACAAGGATACAACTGCACTGCCAGTTTTCACGTTTAGAGCCCACAAAGAAAGAGTTGGAAAGGAAAATGACGAGGATACACGTGCACTGCCAGTTTCCATGTTTTTTTAGGCCGACATGGCAAGATAGATGCCACCTCATGTCATGTGTTAATGATGATGGGATGGCTTGATGCGGTCTTGGATACTTTCCAATTCAGCCACTGAATTGGTCCAATTGCGGATAGGTTTAGAGTTGGTTTGGTCTAATTTGGAGGTTATGAATTTATGGTAGTAAGTAGGTTTGATCAATAATTTTAAGTTTAGGAACTAACCTCAGATCAGTCACATTGTAGGCCAGTTACAAGCTAGTTTCGATGGACTTAAGGAAATAAAATATCCCACGAAAGGATAAGTCCAAAATTTTGTTTAATTTAACAAAAATATTTTATTCAATTTAAGGTATCGTTTAGTATAGCGATTTCGGAGTAGTGGTTAGCAGTTTTACCTAAATCACTAAATATAGGTATTTGGTAAATTTATATATTTCGAAACCGTTACAACTAAAGTATTTGGTAAAATTTTTATTTAGCGATTTGAGACTAGCGGATAGCGGATAGCGGTTAGGGTCCAAATCGCTAACAGATTAAAAAAAACTAGTTTATGTAGCTTTTTATACCAAATCATTAGTGGATTAGAATTTTTTAATTTTGTTGATAAATTTATCCATTTTAATTTTTTAATTTGTGATCACATTTTTTAATTAATAATTATCTAATAAATTTCAGTTTTGTTTTTTTAC